ACTCACGCTACCACAGCTCCCATGTAGGAGGCAAATCGGATTACTATGCTTCGCCACCACTGCCTCGGTGGCGATAAGAGTCAGAGGAGTTCGTGTGACCCCCTGGGAAGTCTTTGGTCCAGGGGAGCCAAAAACAGATATATATATTAAAAAAAAAAAAAAAATTAATAAATTAATAACTCTAAACTCAATCGTAGTACATTTTGATATATAATATTGTACATGAGGACATACATTATATATATATATATATATATATCTCTCTCTCTTTGTAGGCATCAATAGACATATATATAAGTAAATATATAATATAAAAAAAACATAATATATAATATTATTCTATGGTTTCGATTTCGATTCCAGTTTCAGAGTTTGGAACCAGAACCGTTCCCAACCATTCCTAAAAAATTAGAATCGGAACCGAAACAGGAACCGTTAGGAATCGGAACCGAAGCACCGATTCCTAACGGTTCCACCGATTTTTTGTTCATCCCTAATAATTAATACATAAACATAGGTTTGCTCACTTAATCTATTTGTGTACAATTATTTTGTGGCGCATAATCCCTAAACTTTTTTTTTTTGTCAAATAACCTCCTTCACAAGAGTAAACGACGTATTATAAAAATAATCTCAACCTTAAGTTCTATTAGATTAGTCCATCAAATGTCAAATGACTCCAGCCATCTAATAATTTTTATTTAACTTTTAAAAAAAAGGACTGCTGTGATTCATATCTTGAATAAGAGGAGACAATAACTAAAAAGCCAAAAAGATCCTTTACTTTAATACATGTACACTTTTGGATAAATTACACAGGCATACCTTGAGTTTAGGTCATATTTCACGTAAATAAATATTTTGGTTTTAACTTTCACTTACACATGTGAATTGACCATTTTACCCTCCATTTTTTAATACTCTGCACATAATATATGTAATCATAAATGACAAAAAAGGCCCATATATATATATTCAGGCACAGTTTGTACTGGCCCAAAGGCCCCAACCATCACCAATCATGGCGATTGCAGTGGCAACTGCAACCCTTTCCACCACCGACCTTGTCACCATCGTCGTCGCTGGCGTGCCCAACAGCAAGCCCTCTTAGGGAATCGCATATTTCCTCCCCGATCCAAAGCGTCAACGCAATGATTGGGATCGCGACCTCCAAAACCAATCAAGACCGTTACAGACCCATGACCGCCACCTCCAAAACCAGTCACATACATATATACACACTCGCACACATATACAGTCCTTTCCCCTCCCTCACCAAACCCTAATTTATACACAAAATTAATATAATCACACACATATATACACTATATATCCATATCTATATATACACGGTGGAATTAATAATCCGAGAACCCAAGGCATCAACAAGAACTTAACAGACCCACACAGCATCAAAGCCATGGAATTTTTCGCTGGTGGTGGTTGTGTGTTCACGTTTTTCGCGAGAAAAGAGGTTTCTGCAACATTCGAAAAACCCATTGGATTAAGAGAGAGGAGTCTAAAAGCAAGACCCACCAAGAGAATCGAAACCCTCAATTTCACAAACAAGTGTTGTGTTTCTTCAATTAAATTTATAATATTATTGCGCTTTTTTTTTTTTTTTTTTTCGTAGGATCCGGAAAAATGGCGGTTTGATGGGTTTTGTGTTTGTGGTCGCCAAAAAAGATGGATTTGCAACGGTAGCCATGTCGAACCTCATCGAACAAAGACGCCAAACTTACCGCATGCGCCAACAGGACCAGTCGAGATAAACGGAACCACCACATCTTCAAATCCGACCTTTCATCACCCACCTTCATGCCACTTGCACCCATCAAGTTGCAACCGAAACACCAAATCCAAACCCGCCAGACTCAAATCACAACGGTCCGAAGATTTGGTGAGTTCTCGTGAATTAAAGTAGTACAATCGGTAAGTTATTGGCGCAAAAATTTGGGTTTGATTTATAAAAGCCTTCAACTGTAATTTAGAGGTGTTGATTTGGGTTTGTGACAATTTGGGTTTGATTTAGAAGAGCCTTCAACAATTTGGCATGGGGATGGGGTTTTGGGAGGGGGTGGTGATAGAGGTGTTGGGTGAGGCGGTGGTGATGGAGGTTTTGGGTGGGGTTATTTCCTTCCCTAACTCTTTCCGAACGAGAGTGAAGACTGTAGCTCGGGTACAAATCCTCTGTAGTGTGATTCCCGTGTTGTCTCATGCAGTGAGTGTTAATTGGTCTATATTTGGCCATGTTTTTCTTCAATTAATAAATATTAAGATTGTGTTTGACAATTACACCACTATTTATAAATAATATTTCATCACTTTTTATAAGTACTTTTACCCTCAAAATAAGGTATGCACATAATGCAGACTAAGTAATGTTACATACAAACGTAACTCAATTCAACATATCATTTATGTTATAATTTAAAATTAAAGTATTTTAAAAACATTTTAACATGTTAATTTAAAGAATTTAAACTAAAATTAAAATCAATTAACTTTAGGCAACAAACAAAACATTTGTTATTTCCAAAAATAATGAAAAGAGTCACATTTTTTTTTTTTTTTTTTGCTTCCAAATATTAAAAAAAAAAAAACTAAATTATTTAATATATCTTTGAAAAAAAATAGGCAAAGTTTAATATTAATTGCCACACTCACCATTTTTACCATCAAAAGAAAAAAATTGGCAAAGTTTAATATTAATTGCCACACTAACCACCTTCACCATAAAAAAAAAAAAGTATTCACATAGTGCTGAAAAACTAATAGTTACACATAAATCTAACTCAATTCAACATATTATTTATATATATTTTAAGTTATATTTTATCATAAAAAATAGAATATCCAAAAAAATAGTCACGTATTAATTTAAAGAGGATTTTGAAGGAGATTATGAGGTATTTAGCGATAGGGCTGCAACTCGGGCTGGGCCAGCTTGAATTTACCCGAGCCCAGCCCGAAATTTTCAAGGCTTGGGTAGTGTTTTTCTGTTCTAGGTCTGGGTTTGGGCTAGATATTTTGAGCCCGAATTAAATTCGGGCTGAGCTTGGGTTGATATTATATAAAGCCCGAAGCCCAGCCCGAGCCCGAAAAGGGTATATTTATTTTAAAATTATGTTATTTCACAAGTGTATAATATCTTAGTTGGTAGTGTGTTTGGGATTTTTTTTGGAGGAATGCTGTTCGAGTCCTTGTAGCTGCACAAATTTCTTATTTTTTACATTCTGAATACAGAGGCGTGGGCTCATGGGCAGGCTTGGGCAAAAGAAGTTAATTATGGGCTAGGCTTGGGTGGCTAGGATTGGGCTTTAGGTGGACTCGGGCTGGGCTTGGGCAAAAGATTTTGTACATGGGTTGAGTCCGAATTAAGTCTCCAACCCGCCCGAGTTGCAGCCCTATTTAGCGATCAACAACCTTTACTTTTTAAATGGTAATGTTACTTTTTAGACTCATCTGATATTACTTTTTAAACTCATAAATGGTGGTGAAATGTTACTTATAAATGGTGGTATAATTGTCAAACACAGTCTTAGTGTCTATTAATTGAAGTAAAACGTGGCCAAACTAAGGCCTCAAATCAGTGGACAACTGGGGACTGCAGGGATAATCACATCAGAGGATTTGCGCCCCTATAGCTTCCCCTTTATGCTGAGTCTGCCATTAGCGAGGAGGGCCAAGAGCGATCAAGGTTTGTTTTCGGGGTGGTGATGTATGTTGCGATAGTTTTGTCACAAAAATATTCAAACACCATTTTTTTCAAGTCAATGGCATGTTAAAAGGGTAATATAGTCATTTAACACCTCAAAATATTCCCATCCCACCAAAAATTTGAGGTGTAAGTGAAATTTGTTATGATGACCCTATAGGCGGGTGTGCAGTGGGCAAGTGCGAAACACTGTTAGGTTACCACACTGGCGAATTACGGGTGCACAATCCCACATCGCCTGGGTAAGAGAAAGGTGAAGTGCTTATATGTAGGTGTGTCACTCCAATTGGCTTGAGGCCTTTTGGGGTAAAGCTTAAGAGCAAAACCGTGCGGGTTCAAGCCCAAAGCGGACAATATCATACCATGTGGTGGAGTGGGTCATTACAAATGGTATCAAAGCTTAACCCAGCCAGAAGTGTGCCGACGGGGACATCGGGCCTCCAAGGGGGTGGATTGTGATGACCCTGTGGGCGGGTGTGCCATGGGCGGGTGCGAGATACTGTCAAGCTACCACACTGACGAGCTACAATCCAATTGGTATGAGGCCTTTTGAGATAAAGCCCAAGAACAAAATCATGCGGGCCCAGACCCGTGGAGTGGGTCGTTACATTTGTAATTGACCCACTTGTAAAGTAATTTTAATTTTTAATGCCCATTTTGGCATATTTTCTACTCAATACTGTAACATATATGTTCTAAAAATGAGTAATTACATCATTTTACCTCTTTATTTAATAGAAAATTAACGGCTAGGAGATAAGGTGCAAATTAATCTTTTTTTTGTTTGATAGTTTAGGAACTATCTGCAAAATACATAGCTTATAATATTACATGCCATAAAATGATGATTTGGGGGTTAAGTGCAATTAAGCCTATAAACATGTATATAATGTGTAAAGAGGTGGAAAAATGTCGAGGCAAAGCAGTTCTTATTCAAAACATACAAGTACAAGATATAAATATAAGAAAATGCTTTTAAAGCTGAGAACTTTAACTTAAATGCTAAGCGGAAGATTGTTAGATTTATCGTATATGCAAAATTTTAAAAAATGAGATATGTATTTTATTAAATCTAACAAATAAATAGTATTTAATTAAAGATTTCGATTAAAATCCTTTACCCGTGTGGCATTATTCATAAATATATGCCCTTAGTCATCTAACAGATATGTTTATTTGTCAATCAAATCTTTTTTTGGGCAAGGAAATGATTGTTGTGAAGAAGAGATCGATGTATAAGTTAAAGTAATAACATAGAGATAGAGAAATGTGAGAAAAGTACCTCTCTGTTTTGTAAGGGACACTTGGTGGAGAAAAACTTAATTACTCGGATTATAGTGACATAGTACCACACGCCAATTATCCTGGACAAACTTGAATGTTTCGAATGTGATAAGCTCATTGACACTGAAAGCGAGGAGTAAGACTGCATTAAATATTGTAGGAATCCTACTTTACCAAGAAAAGGGAGCGGTCTTGTGCGAAGAAAAGACATGATGCAAGGCAGGTATATATCCCTTGTAACTGGTTACGCATGCTTTTGAACAAGAAACAAACTTTTTATTTTTTTATTTTTTCTCCTTTAACAACAATACTTGTTTATTTAACTTAAGGTGGAATCTCTTTAATTTTTACAGTTTTTTGATATTTTAAAATAAGTTTTAAAACAATTAATTCATTTTTATTTGGGTCAAACTGATAGGTTAAGATACTGGGGGTTGAGCGGTTTAAATTCTATTAGAAACAATAATGTGAGTGCAGTTTTCTTTAAATTTTAGGAGAAAAAATTGTTAAATTTTTACAAAAAAAAACTTTTTAAAACTTCTTTAACGGTCCAATAGGTGTGAATGATTTTATATAATTTACTACTAGTCTTATTATTTTATTATAATATTTTATTTATACCTTTTCTATCGTGGTTTGTCTAAATTCAAAATTCAAATCCGTGTTATGCCTAAACTATATTACGTGAGTAGACTTATAAATAAATATATTTAAATCCCCAACCAAAAAATATATATATATAGACTCTACTTGAGACAAGTTTTGTTCATTTTCCCAAGCTTTTAGCCTTTTAGGAATAGATATTGGGAACAAAACTATACCTATTAAGATTTACGAAAATTTTACCAAAATGATTCGAGACTCTCAAATGGCGTCAGAGCTTAAGGAATCAAAATAGGAAAAATTATCAACAAGTCCTACTTTTCTCATTGAATGACAAGGAACTCCTAAAAAAAAAAAATTATTCAGGATCAATGAGTCCAACTTTGATATTTGTTTCCATTTATACTCTTACTAATTTATATATACTCTTGCTACATTAAATATATAATTTGGACTCAAACTTTCATATTTATCCTTATAAAATTAGACATGAAAGAATAAAAAGAATACATTTTTTTTATATAGAATAGTTGATTATTTTGTACTAAAATTGTGTATTTTACACGAGTTTTTTTAATTGAATTGAATTGAATTAACATTATGTTACATATTACTTAAACTCATAATACAAAATATATATATATATAAAAATAGATTAAATATCAATTCTTGAATATATTTATAATTACAAAATTTAATTTTGTTTAGTAAGGGTGATAATTTAAGATGTAGTGATGTAGGACTTAAATGGAAAAGAAACTCATAAGTACGACTTACTAGTCTTAAAAAAAATTTGGAGCTTTGTTGTCGAGAGATATTGGATATGCTAGTAATTTTCCCAATAAAAACTACAATTTGCATATGAATAGTGAAATTAGATATATATTATTACAGAAAAAAGATGGATATAGTCACCCCATACACATTGATAATCTAACTTAAAACAAAAATGTATTACTCGCCAAAGAAATAATCTCATAGACCACCTATTAAAATAATAGAGCTAGAAAAAGAAACAATAACTTATTAGAAAATTTAGCAGAATAAAAAGAATCAAGAATGAAGAATAGCCATTCCCATGCACGGAGACGGAGCTACATGGGTGATTTTTTTATTTTTATTATTATTATTTATATTAAATATACCTAGAAGGCTAGAATTTAGCTAAAATTCTAGTAATGCCCCCACTGAATTTTAGTAAAGCCCATTTATACTGTTAGTTTGAAATATTATATTTTATTTTAGTTCAAGGCCACCCCCATAAAATAATTTTCTAGTTCAGTCACCGACCTTTTCATTAGCAACCTACCAAAAATGGTGGTATTGTTTTGAAGTTGTAGTTTCAATCCAAGTGTTCATGCGAATTTGAGTTTGGCCATTCGTATTTATGCGTATTCAAAAGAGCATATATGGCACGAAGTTCATAACATTTAAAGAGGGAACAAGATCAATCTAATTAAAGTTCATAAATTTGCAAAACATCTTCAGCTTGAAATTGTCCCAAACTTGGACCCATTGAGAACATTTTCTGCTTTCTTTTTTGGACACTTGCAGGTTATATTCCAAGAGTCTCTTTATACAACACCTCCAACTTAGCTTTATTGACTTCTTTATCGCCTTAACCATTGCCAACTCTTCCTGAATTCTCTCTAAACTCAAATCTCCATACTTGCTTCTGTTGAGCACGGTGGACTTAGGTGTTATAGATATTTTAATAAAAAACATAAATAATAAATATTATATATATATATATAATAAATATGTAACGTCTAGGTAATATAATGGTAGAAATAATGATTGAAATCATATACAACCCCATAAATATAATTTAACTCATGTAATAATGATTAATTAATAAAAAACATAAATTATAAATATTATATATATATATATAATAAATATGTAACGTCTAGGTAATATAATGGTAGAAATAATGATTGAAATCATATACAACCCCATAAATATAATTTAACTCATGTAATAATGATTAATTAATATATATATATATATATATTAATTAATCATTATTACATGAGTTAAATTATATTTATGGGGTTGTATATGATTTCAATCATTATTTCTACCATTATATTACCTAGACGTTACATATTTATTCTCTATATATATCTCTTATGTGTATGGTAATTGAGTAGAGTGATCTACGGTAGAGTGATGTGTTGTAGAGGGAGATGTATATTTTTGTGTATAAGGCTGTGAGCCTATTTCCTTGAGAGTAATTTTACGTATTGAGTTTATAAGCAACTAGACTTGGACCTAGTCTTTTTGTGGTCGTGCACATGGAGGAGACGCCACTACGAGCTGATTGGGTTGTATCTTGGAGCTGACTAGTTTCACCAATTCCCGCATGAAGGGAGGACTATCAACTTTAGGTCAATGTGTTTACACATGCCTCAACAATCAGGCCAGCACTTTCTTACCTATTTTAATATTGTTTTCATTTCATAATTTCTACTATTATTATATTAATTTTCTATTGCAGAATTATTATATTGTTAAATCTTTATTCATCTTTATATCCATATTATTCAAATGATGTACTATTTAGTTTGATGAAAGAATAGTTATTAGTTTTTCACATTGGTGGTGTTGTTCATTTCATTGAATCATTGTGTGTGAATATTGTACTCTATATATTTTTATAATTATGTGGAATTTTCACAACAGTCTAAAGTTGATATCTCCTATATATTTATAGAAGTTCTATTTTTTACTAAAAAGGAATCTGTTTATAATTGAAAATAAATAAATAAATACATCTCTACCGCACAAATAGAAAAGTTAGTTTTTGGACTAAAATAAATTGATAGTGAAAATATAGTTTAATGATTTCACACCTGATTATCCAAGTTGAGATCCCTATAGGTTTATGTTGCAGTGTTGTTTGTTACATGGAAATCATGGCTACTGCACTAGTGCACTTCACACACCAATACATTGTATAAGGTAATGACAGCACATGAATTGATATTAATTATTCTTTATATAACATTTTTTTTTTTTTCAAGGCAAGAAAATATATTAATAGGCAAGTCAAATACACTGCTGCTCTACAGCATCCATCAAAACACGAGGAAAAAAATCAAAAAATTCAGCATCAACCTTCCTAGACATAGCATACTTTGCTAGATTATAGCCGGCAGTGTTGGCATCCCTGGGAACAAATTTAACAGCAAACCCATTTGAATGCTTCAGCCACATCAGGACATCCTCAATCAACTGCATCAAAGCTATTGGACATACCTGAGTCCCATTAACTATGTCCACCACCTATTTAGCATCAGACTAAAAATAACATGTGACAACAATCGCTCTCTTACTTTGAGCATTGCCTGCCTCAACACAAATGCTTCCCCAACTCTGGCATCAGATAAAAACTTCGAGTAGAATATAGCAGCAAAAATCATCAACCCTTTGTGGTCTCTTATCACCAAACCACCAGCAACTTCATCAGAGAAGGTGTTAACTGCTGCATCAACGTTAGCCTTTAAATGTCCCACATTCGGCGGCAACCAACGCACTGGCAAAGGAGAGGAAATAGGAATAGACTGATAGGAATCATGAGTATTTTATGAATGAACCCCATAAAACTCCCAAAACTGCCCAACAACAACTTCAATGATCTTCTCGCCAGACCAACAAGCTCTACCAAACACAGAATCATTGCGAGACTTCCATAAATACCAACATAAGTTTGCAGCAATTCTAATTAAAATATTATTGTCTTTCAATCCGTCCCACGAAGGGATTAAGTTCATCCACCATTCTCCCCATGTACTATCCCCAACTAAAGATACATCAAGTCGTAGTGGGGAACCCTTCCAAACTAAATTTGATGATTGACAATCGCACAGTAGGTGTTTTAAAGTCTCTATCTCCAAACCACAAACTTTACAAAAACCATCCATGGATATACCTTTCCTAATCAATTAATCTGAAACGGTAACTCGATCATGAAAACATCTCCAAATAAAATGTTTAATTTTGGGCTTAACCATCATTTTCCAAATTCGAGACCAAAAAACTACCTAGCGCTTACAGAACTGCTTTCTTCCTGATTAACCACTGGGACCAAGCAACCCCTTTTCAACTGTAAAGCTGCATAGTAAGCTGATTTAACAGAAAAAATCCCACCAACCGAAAAACCCTAAATCAGTCTATCATCTTAATCTGTCTGGTTCAACTGGATTTGCAAAATCTTGGCACTATCCTCCTTCGAGAAGCACTGATAAACTAAAGCTTCATTCCATCTCATTGGATTAGGCTCCAAAAATTGCGAAGCCCAGACAAAAGAGGTCAAATGAGGCGAAGAAATGGGCTTGAAAGAGACAGAACTTGGAATCCAATTATCTTTCCACACATTTATACACCGGCCATTACCAATCTTCCACAGCAGCCCTTTGTCTCAAACACTTCTTCTTGCAAGCATACAACTCCACACCCATGATTGGTTATAAGCTTTCCCCGCATGCATTAAATCAAAAAAA